TAAAAATTGATATTTTTTTATATTTTAAACAGCACCTTTTTTATAAACTTAACAAATCTACTTGGATAAAAACAAACATTCAAGAAACTCTCACATAGTTTTTTTTTTTAAATAAAACGATAGTATTTTTTCTAAGCTAGTTTTAAAAGTTTCGTGAAATAACAGCTTTGTACGTACCTAATAGCTGGCTCTATATGAATAGAAAAATAATAAAGATGCTGATGCGAAAAAGTAGCACAAGGAACTCAGTCACATTTGCTTATAAAGGTAAACAAGCAAAATAAAAGGTAAGAAAAATAATGGAAATATATTACAAGATATGTAATAAGTCAGCTAAGGTAAAAAAGACCGTGCCTTCTCATAATTTACGTTCTACATGCATATTTAATGTGGTTCGGTATTTGGGTTATATCTTGAGATCCTATTAATATAATTAAATCAATTATATTTTTCCAAATCGTTCGTTTCAGCCGAAAGACGTCCACTGCTGGACAAAGTCCTTCCCCAAGGATTTCCACAAAGACCGGTCCTGTGCCGCTCGCATCCAGGCACCTCCCGCGACCTTCACCAGATCGTCGGTCCACCTAGTGGGAGACCTGACCACGCTACGTCTTCCGGGTCGTGGTCGCCACTCAAGAACTTTCCTGACTTTCGAACTCAAGAATTTTTTCAAATAATTTTATAGAAATCGCTTGCTTAAGACTTTAAGCTCTGTAGTACCTATTTCTCTACAATTTAGGTACTTTAAAAAAATCTCAACAAATATTTTCCCAACACCCTGTATATCTAGAATCTTAAAATTGCAACCAGTTTTACGCAACGCGTGCAAAATGAGAAGAATCAAAGGCATTGTAATGGCTTCCTGGTGTTATGTAACTACTCATGCGCATTGAAAAAACAACATTTTGTCTGTGGTCGGCTTGGGATCTCGGTCAAGTAGTTGCTACTTACTTTATTTGTTTAAATAAATAAATAAATAAATATCCTTGGACATTTTACACTGCGCTTCTAGTCCCAAACTAAGCAAAGCTTGTACTATGGGTACTAGACAACGGATATACATACTTAAATACTTTTTTTTTTGTAAATACATACATATTATACATAGAAAACACCCAGTCCAATACAAACAAATATGTTCATGCACACAAATGTTTGTACTGTGCGGGAATCGAACCCGCAACCTCCGGAATAGTAGTCCGTTTCGAACCACTACACCAAACGGCCGACGCTGTTTAATAGGACAACCAACGAGACATACACTAAAACCATCTGTTTACTTAATGTAAGAGTTACCTTAATTAACTGGTCGACTCTTGATCCGAGGAACGCGGGATCGTACCCCACTGCCGTTGGACTATCGTGGTGAACCCACTCTAACACAAACATATTAAGCTTACCACAAGGGGTAAACGAGACTATTAGTAATTTGAAAATAAAAATTACCAATTATCCTAAAAAAACCAAGGTTAGATTCACATTTTAAATAGTGTCTACTTTGGAACTTGCTGTGATTGTGATTGATTTATAGTTTCGGTTTGATTCCTAGATAGGCCAATGGAAGGTTGTTAGTGGTTTTAGATAAGCCCCCAAAGGAATACCTACTCGTTGCTTTCCCTTTCGTTTCACATGGCTTCATCATCGTTATCAGATTATTTAATCTTATGACCAGATTGGGCAGCGTTCGGGAAGCTTCGCCATATACTCACGTCCGAAATACCGCAGTGTCTTAAGTCGAAAGTATTTGACCAATGCGTGTTGCCAGTGATGGTATACGGATCTGAGACGTGGTCGCTTACTATGGGCCTCATAAGAAGGCTCAAGGTCACCCAAAGGGCGATGGAGCGGGCTATGCTCGGAGTTTCCCTGCGTGATCGAATCAGAAATGAGGAGATCCGCAGGAGAACCAAAGTAACCGACATAGCTCGCAGAATTGCTAAAATCAAGTGGCAGTGGGCGGGGCACATAGCTCGTAGAGACGATGGCCGTTGGGGCAGGAAAGTTCTCGAGTGGCGACCACGGGCTGGAAGACGTAGCGTGGTCAGGCCTCCTACTAGGTGGACCGACGATCTGGTGAAGGTCGCGGGAGGTGCCTGGATGCGGGCGGCGCAGGACCGTTCTTTGTGGAAATCCTTGGGGAAGGCCTTTGTCCAGCAGTGGACGTCATTTCGGCTGAAACGAAAGAAAAAGAAAGATGACCAGATACAAATTAGAGGGTTTAGCCTACACCTCACGCTGCCGCGCTGGCCTGATGTTCGCATAACTTAGTTTGGTTTTAGTCACCTTTTATATGACATCCACATGACTTACCTACTTGATTTAAGGTCCTATGTCCCCTAGATGGGGCAGAGGGCGTCCTCCATCGCGTTCGGTCTTGACCTTCGCGTTTGATCTCGCTCCAAGTCTTGCCGATCTTCTTATGACATCCACAGTATAAAAAAAATATCCAATTGGTTTTGTCAGTGGCCTAGGTTAAACATAACAGTTCAGTCAGTCAGAGAAAAGTCCCTTTGCATTGGTCTTTAATTACTAAGTTTATTCTAATGAAATTATTACTCATTCTCTTACACATTATTTCACAACATTTTTACCGATTGACTGACTGATTTTACATCTGTAATCGGACGTTAATCGATATCTACCTTTTCTGAAGATGCAAGTGCATTGACCGAAGAAAAAAGGTGTGTGAACTTGCTAATACTTCTGCGTTTGTCACCGTTAACGGTGCGCGTACGTCGAGGTAGCAGAACAGTCAATCATTCGTTCGTTAGTTCGTTCGTTTTAGCCGAAAGACGTCCACTGCTGGACAAAGGCCTCCCCCAAGGATTTCCACAAAGACCGGTCCTGCGCCGCTCGCATCTAGGCACCTTCACCAGATCGTCGGTCCACTAATAAAGCTTAATTATAATACATTACATTTTTCTACAAACTCTAAACAACGATATTAATTAACAAAGTAGGAAAAATATTTATATCCTTCAATGTCATAGAAAGGTGTTGAACATTGTACTATTGTTTAAATTTATCTCCAAGTAAGTAATTATCGTTTATTACCTACTTTTAATCTCAAATTGAGTAAAACTTGTTACTAATATTTCCTATGTAGTGTTTTATGTAAGTTCAATTATGTTCGTACACAAAATTGTATAGTCTTAAGTTATATTTTCTGTCGCTTTAGAAATGTCTTTCCCTTCCTCAAGTCTGTATCAGCGATATGCCTGTCACCTCTTACGCAGTGTGCAAAACTTCGCAAATAAGGTTTATTTACCCTTTTTATTAAACTGCATTTTTATCAGTCGTTGCAATTTTTATCGTGCGATGATCTCTGTGCGCTTCTTTTTTTCCTGGAAGTGCAATGATAAGAACTGTTTGATAGGTAAATAGTTTTATTTCCGCAGATAATATTATTAAATGCACAGCACTGAGTAAGCTGAATATAGTATGTTATGTAGGTTAATAAAAAGCGAGTGTTCTCGCTTCTAAACGTTCATAATATAGACGGAGGTTCGAATCATCATTATTTCAGCCATAGGACGTCCACTGCTGAACATAGGCCTCCCCCAATGTTTTCCATGTTGATCGATTGGTAACGGCCTGCGTCCAGCGCTGTCTCAATCTTTACCATGTCGTCGGTCCTCGGAGGTTCGAAGGATTTGAGGAAACAATAATTTGTATTGCACAAATTACTAATAGTCCCGGTAGCCCCTCGTACTACGCTAAATGCTTGTGTTACGAGTGGGCTTTCCACAATAGTCGAGGGGCGGATTCTACCTGCGTTCCACGGATCACGAGTCGGCCAGTCCGACCCCTTCACCATTCATTCGGCTATCGTGGCTTCAGTTTACGTGTATATGTCCTTCGTGGCTTCAGTTTATGTCCTCCTACAAGGCCTCCTCATTATAACTCTTCAAATACGGTCAATACTTACCTAAATACGTTACATACCATACCACAGCCATTTTAATATTCTTTGATTTTTTTAAAGAACTCGCTCTGTAAGCATTGTACCATGACACCATCCAACAGTGTCTAGTTTCGTTTCCGAGGATCAAATTTTGTGAAATTATGTAAAATTCACAAAAGATGCATTTTAATCAAAAATGTTACGTCAGCGAAACCTAGTATTATATTATCTGTGGCGAAACTAATTAAGTTCAGAATGGTGGCTACAAATTCATACATTTTGGGTTGAGACTACTTATACGTGAACTTGTTTTTGTATATTTTTTTTGTTTTTCAAATAATTATAATCTTGAAGAGTATTTTTTATTTATTTTGGTCCGATTTAGTTTTGGGTAAAGTAGTGACATCTAGCGGCTAGTAGTCGTAGCCGAACTACGGCTTGTAGGGGCTTATAAAAAGCATGCTTTTGGTAGCAGCTTCAATAAGCAAGTCATGAAAACTAAATAGTAAAATTACTCACCACTAGATGGCGTTACACGTATTAAAATGAGATTGAATGAACTTATTATGATCGTGAAAAAGAGCTAGATAAATAATTCCACCAGTGTTATCTCAAACTTTTTTAATTTTATTTAAAAGTTATGAAAAAAAAAAATACAGAATAATCAAAAAATGTTTCCGCCCGGGATCGAACCGGGGGCCTTCTGCGTGTTAGGCAGATGTGATAACCGCTACACCACGGAAACCGATGAGTAGCATATTGAAATAGGTTTTCGTAATTTATTTAGGTAATGAAATTAGATAAAAATAAATAATAATGTTTACTGCTAACTCAATATTAATTAATAATAAAGTTAATTTGTGTATAATTATAGGCCCGGTTGTAATGTAGTGCCACGGACGGGCCTTTTAATGTCACCGAGTTCGATCCGAAGGTTCTGGGTTCGAATCCCACATGGAAAAAATATTTTTATATTGAAAAAATATTATATTTTTATGAAGCCTCAAGAAAAGTCTTATTATTTTTAAAAATAGAAAAAATATTTAAAAATTTTCTGCAATGATTTTTTAATTTAATGAAATAGGTAGACAAAAATTTACAAAAAGACAAACTGCAACAAAACTAAAGTATAAGTAGTGACAAGACTCGATAGTCGTAGCGGCAACGCTGCGTCCACGCAGACCAAACCGCAAGCGGCCATCTTGTGGAACACCGCAGTTTTCGTGCGGCGAACGTTCTTGAAGAATCTTCTAGCTTCTTCTGGAATAATAAGAAAGAATAAGGTACAAGAAGATACAATTGTATTCACAAAACATTACTATGAGGTCTCACAGTGCGCGTGGATGCACAGGGTCCCTAAAATCTATTCATAGACAATACTTGAGTGGCGGAGTGACACACACGAACAAATCACAAATAAGAGCCTATTCAACGCTGTGCGTTCGACTTCGTATAGCATTACTGCTTCACTTAAGCAAGCATCGTTTGTGAATACGGAGGGCTTAGTGTGAGTTTACATCTAACGCGCTCACCAGTGAGCGCGCGCGTTTAAAAAATGTATGAAAATTTTAGTTTTTTAACGTTTCCCGCTAGGGGCGCTGTACAATCCGTCATACATTTAATGTCATTTTTTACGCGCTCACTAATGACGACGTTTGTTTGATGTAAACACACTAAGCCCTCAAGTGTTATATTCGCGTAAGGCTTTATTATCATTCGTGTTGCGAACTTTTTGGCCCCTTTGGGTTTCACGAACTTATTTGACACTGACTACTAGGGTTGCCAACCGTACTATAATATATAGTATTGTACTATATTTCGGGTCTGCGTACTATATACTGTTGAAAAAATATATAGTACGCAAAAATACTATATTTTCAACACCGACAAATCTAACAAACAAATACTTCATTTTAAAAAAATAAGAACGCGCCTTTAAAGTAACTTTTAACTGTTAAGATGGCTAAGTCATATAACCTATTGCGCACGTACCATTTCCTTTGATGAGGTCCGTGAACATACCCGATAGGCGATAGCGTGTATCCGAACGCTTGCGTAACGAACTTCATCATTTCAGCCATAGGACGTCTACTGCTGAACATAGGCCTCCCCCAATGCTTTCCATATTGATCGATTGGTAGCGGCCTGCGTCCAGCGCTTCCCTGCTACCTTTACGATGTCGTCGGTCCACCTTGTAGGTGGACGTCTCACGCTGCGTTTTCCGGTACGCGGCCTCCATTCCAGAACCTTTCCGCCCCATCGCACGTAACGAACTGGTCAATGTCAAATTGACAACGTAAATTTTAACGTCGTCAAACGATATTTTGGTCTGCTTTATTTATCGGCAGAATCGTTTTCAACTAGATGTTGTTATTTCTTTTGAAAAGTTGAAATCTTATATAAATTAGGTATGGAAAGTGGTAGTGATAACGAAAGTGCGTCAAATTCTATTGCGCCGCTAACGCCGATTAAAAAACGAAAAATACCAAAAAGACTCCAAATAAAATAAACCGGAGTGGAAAAGAGAGTAGGTATGACTGGATTACTGAAGATCCCCAAAATATACAGTGTGAGTCACGAACTCACGATAAAGTGCACATATGAAAATATGTGAAACTAGACCTATTTTTTTCGAGAAAAAAGAGGTCAAAAATTTTTTGAGATTTTTTCAAATTTTTTATAGAATTTTTTTTCTTCCAATTACTTCTCGTAAAGAAAACGTAATAACTTTTAAACTAAGAGGTATATCCTGATAAAATAAAAACAATAATAATGCTAAATAACAGGCGATACTAATAAAATACATAAAATACCCAGAAAATGCCAACAAATAATAAAAAAATATACTTTTTGAAAAAAATTCTGCTTTTAAATTCGTGTTTTTTTGGTTATTTGATCAATTTCTCCAAAAAATGCCCCTATAACAGGTGGTTTTTATTGCTTTGTATTATTCTCTATCGTATTACTTTTGTAAAACTAAAAATTGCATGTCTCTATCCTTATCACAACATATTATGTCAATTTTAAAATCGGCGTTAGAACAACGTAAAAAATATATTTTTTTTGGTTCAATTTAAAAATTGAATGTGACAAAGCATATGACGCTTTTATTTTATACAAAAAACTGTTACACAGCGCAAGAACTGCAAAAATATATAGTTTTTATAAAAATAAATAATTAAAAAATGTATATTTGTCTATTTTTTTGTTTTTCCCATAAAATACTATATTTTTTTTAAATGTACTATATTTTTTTACACCTTATTTTGGAAAATACTATATTTCGCTGATGAAATGTTGGCAACCCTACTGACTACGTACCTAAGGCATAAAATTCAACAATTAAAACAAACTTACGAGAAATATCAGTGGCCATCATAGAAGCAGCAAAGTCATTTGTATAGTCTATGGTCTTGTAGAACTCATCGCAGGAAAAGCAAAGTATTGTCAAACTGATCAGATTCTTCAACAGCATGATGGTCAGCAATAAGCCTAACCACTGCAATAGATAAAGTAATTAACACTAGATTACACGCGTGGCCTACTATAGTAGACCAGAGTAACATTTTACGCTTTAACTTATTAAAAACTTGCGTCAGAGAGCTGGCATTCCAGGAAAGCCTCGTTTACTAAATTTGTCAATAAGCCAGAAAAGCTTGGGTCGCTAGTGTCTGCGCATTTCTCTAAAATTGGCCGTCAAAACTGCGGGTCTACTCAAAAGCCCGAAATCACTTGACAAAAAAAATATGGAAGACTTCCAAAAAATGGATTTACCCTATGTACCAGGTAGTAGAAAGTCTTGAATACTATGAAAGATAAAAAACAAATCACATTTTTTCAGTAAATAATTTTTTTGCTAACATGGATCTCAGAGTGCAATTTTGGTCCAAAAATATTTCAAATTTTAAATCCGTTAATAATGTTTGACCCCAAATAGTTTCATAAAGAAACTTGGATTATTAAAGGAACTATAATAAACACTTTTATTATTTACATAGTAATTTTATTCATAAATTGCTTACAAACTGATTTACAGTGATTTTAAATTGGCTTACCAGAGTAGGCCGCGCGTGTATTGGTGTAAAAAAAAGGGGCGCGTGTACTGTAGTGTTAAATGATGCTAAAAGTTCAAAGTACAGGTTAAGAAAATCCTAATGAAAAAAGGATACTATAAAATAAACGACTATTTAAATGACAAGAGTGCGTGGATTTTACCTGCCTAGCTCGCACTTATTGCGTGTACGGGACTATTCCCACCTCTCGTTCCCACCACTGCAACTCCTGTGTAGCCAGGATCTACAGCTTGACCGCCACAAAAACCCAACCAATGAAGGTCAAGTTTGTCCCGGGGGAAAGTTAAACTGTCATTGGACCCGCAACGAAATTAATCAGAAGAACATAGGAGGAGTTCGAAATTAAGGTTCGACTTCCCTCCATTGCAAAGCGGATGACAGGTGACAAACAAAGGTTTAAAACCTTTAAGAAAAAGATTATGCACCACGGACAATAAATTAAATTAAGGGGGCCTATCTTATGAGCAATTAGCAACTACCTGCCAATAATATTTTTCACAAAATCGCTTAAAAGCACGGAAATTTTTCCTTGTCGCGACAAGATCGGTGTAATAAATTGCGGAAACAGATGTATGTTGTATTGAATTAAGCATTATATCACGTTCATGTTTCCAAAGATCACACTCCCACAAGATATGATGGGCAGACTGCTCATGACTGACATCATCAGTGGAACACTCGCAAAAAGGAGACGGAACTAGTTTGAATTCGTGAAGTTTATGTTTAAAGTTGCCATGTCCCGTGAGGAACTGCGACGAGCAATGGTCGATTTGTAACCATCGCCTAGTTAGACGTTCGCGTACATTCGGGAAGAATTTATATAAGTGACGTCCTTTGACTTGACTGACGTATCCCATCTTTTTTGCCATTCATTAAGTAAATCTTCTTCAACGACTTCTCGGGAATCAAATAATCGACTTATTTTAGAACGATCGCGGCTATTTAAGAAATCGGAGGTTATAATTTTCCCTTGATGCGAAGTACATAGCCGCACGCTTTTGTACCTCTAAGTCGACCGGCAGTACACCACTTATTGCGTGTCATGTAAGCAATTTATAATTACTGTATTTTATTTAAAAAGAGGCTGTCAAAGGTGACTGAGTTTCTTCCGCCACTTCTTCTCAGCACCAGCCCATATGTTGTCCCGAAGTGGTGGTAGGGCAAGCTATATTTGGGACGTGTATAAGTTCCCTACAAAGGGCCTATGTACTGAATAAACTATTTGAATTTGAATAATGTTTAGCCTATGCGCAGACCTTTTAGGATCAAATAACGTTTTACGAAATAACAATAATTCAGCTTTTCAATTAATTAGTGCCGCTGTTTTGATCGGCTTGGCGAGGGCACTGCCAAGCCACCAGATATAATAATACTTACTTGAGTCATTAGCGCAGCGTACAGCCTAAAATATTGGCTTTAGAACATTTAAATTTCTATGAAACTTCCCTTTAAATCTTTACAAATTCTCTAAATTTCAACGGGATGCAAAGCTTTTACGAATATGGTGTAACTTGACAGTGACAGACCGCAAACCACGAACGTGTAAATCTAATTTTATTGTGAACTAGCGGCCGCCCGCGACTTCGTACGCGTGGCTCCCGTTTTACCCCCTTCATCTATCTTACGCGGTTTAGATTTTTTCATACAAATGTTTTTTCCCGCTAACTCCCGTTCCCGTGGAAATTTTGCAATATCCTGTTGTAACTAAGTTTTACGTTTACTAAGGTACCTGCATGCCAAATTTCAAGCGTCTAACTTAAGCGGTTTAGATTTTTCATACAAAAGTATTTTCCCGCTAATTCCCGTTCCCGTGGGAATTCCTAAGTATACTATAACCTGCTTAGAAGTATGAAGAATAATTGTACCAAGTTTCCTTAAAATCCGTCAAGTAGTTTTTGTTTCTATAAGGAACATACAGACAGACAGACAGACAGACGGACAGACAGACAGACAGACAAAAATTTTACTGATTGCATTTTTAGCATCAGTATCGATCACTAATCACCCCCTGATAGTTATTTTGAAAATATATTTCATGTACAGAATTGACCTCTCTACAGATTTATTATGTATAGATAAACACAGTTCACGAGGAAAATTAATTAAATGCCTGCAGTAACATGACTCTCTCCAATTTACCGGAGCCAAATGGAGGATTACGTATTCAGAATAATTCTTACTTACTTACCGAAACTGTATATTCTACAGGTAATTTACTAAATTCTATGAAAACCTCGACGTAAATCAACGCGTGCGCGAACACTTCCAGTACTTGATAGAGAATCTGAAAATTAGAATTTACGTTTACAATGTATTCATATACAAGATAATTATCACAAATGTCCCAAAAATGGCACTCCACACTAACTTCAAAAATATTTTAGCTTTAGAAACTGTTCTGTAGCTAAACTATCTCCAGTGCCAGTCTGACATGCGATTTTGGGAATTATTTTGGCTTTTTCTTACCTGTATCTGATAAACTCTTATGTAAATATCAAACGCTTCTAATACATTCGTATATATTTCTAACAATTCTTTCCATTTCGTGCTTTCCACTTCTGCCAATTCACACGTCGTATTAGTTTCATAAATCCACGTTCGTATTTGAATCTTCAAGAACTTCATCATTCGTATAGCATTTACTAAGTCAATGTCAAAATACATCATCGAGAGAAGCAGAAAGAAGTGGGATGTATCCCATAACACCAAAAATGTATAATGACCCAGGAAAATCATAAAGTTCACAAGAATGATAATAATAAAATGCAACCAATTGTGAAAGGCGGTGACAGTGAAATTGATTCTTTCATAGCTGAACAATCTTATCGTCTCTTGGAATTTTGATACGAGATCAATGAAATAATCTCTTTGAAAGATATTAATAAGAAAATGGGCTGTGAAGCGAATGGTTACTAAAACGAAATTGAGAATGAGAACTATATGTATGGCACTGAATGTATGGATTGCCTTTCGCAAAGGAGAATTTGTGACGTAGAAAAATTGAGCGACCACTAAAAAAGCGGTTACAAAACATGATAAAATTTGATAAATGAGCTTTGGTTTAATTAAATTCCCGCTAATTGAAAATTTGGTCGAGCAAAACAATTTTTGGGAGAAAATTATCGGAAGAATGATCTTCAAAAGGTCATTTCCTACATAAACGTGTTTCGTACTCATGGTTGTTCGTTGTAACTGTGAAACTTTAATTAAAATTCCTAGAATCGACGGTGTCAATTTATTTGAAAGGACAGGAAAAATTTATTGAATGAATAAAATTATACCTACTGCCGTCCGTAAACATTTGTAGCAATGGAAGTAATAAAGTAAACTAATTACGTTTTTTAATCCATTTTATGCATACAAATTAAAAAGAGCTTATAATTAGAGATGAAACGGATAGTTGTTTGGCCGGATACCGGATACCGGATATCCGGCCACCTGCTAGGCCGGATAGCCAGATATCCGGCGGCCGGATAGTTGGCCCATTGTCTCGTTGCATGTCGTGACGAGTTTAGCGCCGCACAGGTGCTTCGAACGCAATCAGTGGGTCTATTAATAGACAAGACTAGTCATACTTTCCGAAAATCGAATCAGTCCGAATAGAATGTCAGATTTTGCCACTTGTTTAAGGGGCAGATCAATTCGGGCGATTTCGGTTGCCATCTTGAGTGTGTGATTGAATAGCGAAAATTAAATTAGTTTACTTGGGGATATTATTAATCGCACATCAAATAACTTATCGTTCATCAATTTATTTTCATCAATTTAAATAACTTTTACATCAAATAAATTATTTCATTGCAAATAAACAAATTGTTTAACAAAACTAGTACCTACTAGAAATAATACGAAAATACTCATCAAAAGTGTACTATATTTTTTTCTCAAACGCGCAACAAAAATGTTGTTAGATGCGCAAAAATATTATTTTCTCATGAAATATACTAATTTCACAGCAAATTTACCCGAACGTACATCAGTAATACTCATACTCATATCAATATAACTATTTTTGCAACATGTTTTCTAATATGCATTTTTAAAGTTGCTCAACAATAATGTCTCAAAATTTCAGAGAACTTGTTCGGCAAATTCAATAATAATTAAATCAAAATAATGTTCTTTGTATAGCATTATTTCTTAAAGTTGAACTGAAATTCTATTTTGCGTCTTTTCTAACACTTTATGCCGTTCAATTATGCAGTCCAGACGATCCACCGACATGAGTCGGCGACTTTTCGCCGACAAACAAAAACGGTGACATGATTCGTTTGAAATAAGGCCGCCGACACCAAGTCGCCGGACTTGGTGTATTGTCTACAAGTGAGATGGATTTAAAAAAATGCAGGATGAATGTTCAATGTACCTAACTGTCCCCTTTTTTAAAATAAGGTATATTATGCAAGCATTTATAGGGCTTGCGATTCGACTCAAGTATGTCACGAGCCTGCAGAATCCAAAAATATACCTATTGGCCAAGAACGCAAGCATGGACGTTCGATGTTTTTATTTAGATAAACTGCAGTGCACGATAGAAAAAATGAGAGTATTTTTTTAAATAAATGATGTAATACATTTACTGTGCGCAAGTTATTATTAGCTATGCATTCATAAAATAGCTTTACTTTTTAAATAAATAGCAATATGTCACGAACTTAAATTGCTGCTAAGATTTTAATATTTTGAGGTATAGCCTGACCAGGAACATAAAAACCCTCGCCATGTTGCGGAAAACTAATGGTACTAATTTCTTTTAATGGCAACAGTAACTGAAAACTTCATTATAATGTCACCTTGCATGTCAGTTTATTGCTGTCATAGTGTAAACAAACTTTATTTTAAATGTGCGCAATTGATTTTGTAAATAAATTGCTAAAATCTTTTTATAGTCGTGAAAGAAAAGTGGTTCACAATGTGTTAAAGTATTTGTCGAAGAGAAATACTAAGGGTTCGGACAATATTTTCATTGAATAATGTTTCCGACAAAGGTTGTCAAATTGACTGACATGTTTATCGTATAGTACAGTCAACTATGAAAATTAGCTGTGGTTTGTTTCAACTACCTATTTTAAAGTTTTTTGTCAGTTTTTAAGTGTTGAATTTTATGGAATTGGGAAAGAAGTACCGAGTTTGAAGCGTTCTTAGCAGACATTGCAGTTGAATATTCAAGTTCTGAATTTTATTATTGATGAATAATAAAATAAATCCTACTAGCTCGATTGATGGTTTCATTTAATTTATTTAAACCAGGTTACCTATAATAATATTTTTTCGTTAATTTATGAAAATATCAAATTAGCCCGTAATTCTGAATCCTGATACATAAAGTTAGCCTATTAATTTAACACAGGTACGACTGTACTCAGTGTTGCACTATCAAATGCAATTGACGCGCCTCTATGCCAGGGTTTTTATGTTCCTGGTCAGGCTATAATTATTTTGCTGTGCAAATTGCAATCAGTATTTTTGCTTAGAATTCGGATTTTTAAAGTATGCAAAAGGATGATTTTTTGGCTTGCAGTAAAATACTACCCGTTTACTTGCTGCGTAATCTGACTGAACTGCATCATGACATCAGACCATCAGTGAAAAAAAGATCGCCTATTTTATTTGGCAATATTTCGACTTAACAGATATTTACTATTTATGTATTCGTCATTAGAGTGAATAGCCCAGAAAAAGAAATTAGTTTTTTTAAAGGCCTTAATATGGCTTTTTGTAACTTTTTGGACTTTAAATAAAGGCCGTCATTATTATAAGCCATTTTATTGATGTTTACCTCAAACATTAATGTATTTCATTTTATTAATAGGAAATTTGTCGTAGTTTTTTAATATCCGGTATCCGGCCGGATAGTGAGTTACTATCCGGTATCCGGCCGGATAGTAAATTTAGGCCGGATATCCGGCCTACCGGATAGTTACCGGATATCCGTTTCATCTCTACTTATAATTTAACTTGACAGTCAATTACTTTCAAATTACCTACTTTCGTGATGAACATTATTAATTACTAGCGGCCGCCCGCGACTTTGTACCTACCTACGCGTGGATCCCGTTTTACCCCCTTCATCTATCTTACGCGGTTTAGATTTTTTTAATATTCTGTTGTAACTAAGCTTTAAGTTTACTAAGGTACCTGCATGCAAAATTTCAACCGTCTTACTTAAGCGGTTTAGATTCTTCATACAAAAGGATTTTCCCGCTAATTCCCGTTCCCGTTGGAATTTCGGGAATTCCTTTTTTTAACTAAGCTTTAAGTTTACTAAGGTACCTGCATGCCAAATTTCAAGCGTCTAACTTAAGCGGTTTAGATTTTTCATACAAAAGGATTTTCCCGCTAATTCCTGTTCCCGTGGGAATTCTTAAGTATACTATAACCTGCCCAGGAATATGTTTAATAATTGTACCAAGTTTCGTTACAATCCGTCAAGTAGTTTTTGTTTCTATAAGGAACATACAGACAGACAGACCAAAATTTTACTGATTGCATTTTTGGCATCAGTATCAATCACTAATCACCCCCTGATAGTTATTTTGAAAATATATTTCATGTACAGAATTGACCTCTACAGATTTATTATAAGTATAGATTATTTGTTGTAAGTATGTTACATAATTATATGTGCATCCGTAAAATAAATTGATAGTCTATTTTCGAACTGTTTTATGTATTATTTTAAAGATCTACATACTAACGAATACACCATAATACTGATTCTCTTGCTTTTAAATTTTCATCAATCATTATTAAAATATTTATCGTAGAACATGTTTTTCTTTTTCGTTAAATTACTCAAGTTGATTACACTTTGTGGGTACTACAAACAAAACTAGCAATAACACATCAAGCACATTTAATTGACATTGAGAATATTTTAGTAGTAAGCCTGATAAGATCGAAAACTATTTATTCGTAACTATTATCAAATGAGTTTTGTCGAGTTATCGAATAGTAACATAAAGAATCATGATAGACGAAGACTTCTACGAAATGTACAAACCGATGTACATATTTCAATTACTAACATGTGCTCAAAAATATATTATTGATAAGAATTCTGTCAAACTTATAGATTATAAACATATAGTTATAAGTCTACTTGCAACTATAGTACTTCTTTTTATCTTAGAGGAAACTCTCCGTATTTTCAAGTCTTTTTTAAGCTTGGTTTTGTTGGTCATCTACTGTGTTAACTATAGTTCTTATGCTTTAAATTTTATCGTCACCTGTGTCTTAAACTACATCTACAGAAATGTTAATAGCAACCTCATTTCCTACATGTCTTATTTGAATTCCAATTTGTACGATGCGAAGCAGTCGAAACTTTTAAAAATTCTATCATGGACGCTATGTTCCACAACAGTGTTTATGTATGTTTTACTTATATTTGTGAAATGTTTTGTTGATCCTCACTGGTTTCTTCTGAGGGGCTTGTATTTGTTGACAACTATAAGTTTTGAAATGGATATGGTTTATGCAATATTCATTACTTGTTTCTTGGCTTCTAAGCTCAATTTATGGGTCAAAGAAGTGAATTTCAAAAGCGGTCTTCTAGAAATGGACGAAGATGTATTAATAGATGAATGTGACCGTTTGCGTCGCCTGTTTCTATGTCATCTGGA